GGGTCTGAGGGAGGAGGGGCTGGGGCCTGGGCTCCAGGGTCTGAGGGAGGAGGGGGAAGGGGATCTAGACTCCTGGATCTGAGGGAGGAGGAGCTACCATGGGACTGGCTTAATACACTCCTGCCCACAGGCTTCCAGGCCTTTCGTGGGCTTGGGGGCCCTCACTCTGGAGCAGCAGAGGCAGGAGGGGCTGCAGCATGTGACCTTCCCTTACTTTCCTGGGCTGAGGCTGGAATCCCCCATCACCCGCAGGAGTTCTGTGCAGAGCCAAAGTTCATCTGTGAAGACATGAACCGCACAGACGTGTGTCAGGGGAGCCTGGGTGAGCACCCCGAACCCGTCTCGAGCCCTCACATGTAGCCAGTCTCCTCTGGGGTCCTGACAGCTCCAGCTCTCGGTCCCCCAGTTCCCGGCCCAGGGGTCCCTCTGCAGTCCCTCCTCTCCCTAGGACTGCGTCTCCCTCCCCTCTTCATTTTTTTTTTTTTTTTTTTTTTTTTTGAGATGGGGTCTTGCTCTGTCACCCATTCTGGAATACAGTGGCACTGTCATAGCTGACTGTGCCCTTGACCTCCTGGACTCAAGCAGTCTTCCTGCCTCAGCCTCCCAAGTAGCTGTGACTACAGGTGCACGCCACCACACCTGGCTCATTTTTAAATTTTCTAGTAGAGATGGAGTCTTGCCATGTTGGCCAGACTGGTCTCGCACTCCTAGGCTCAAGTGATCCTCCTGCCTCAGCCTCCCAAAGTGCTGGGATTACAGGCGTGGGCCACCATGCCCAGCCTCCCTCCTTCCATCCTCACCTAACCCTGGCTTCTCCGCCCAGGTAACTGCTGGTTTCTTGCGGCTGCCGCCTCCCTTACTCTGTACCCCCGGCTCCTGCACCGGGTGGTCCCCCCCAGACAGGATTTCCAGCATGGCTATGCAGGCGTCTTCCACTTCCAGGTACAGCTCAGTTCCTCTGCCCATGCCTCAGTTTCCCCCATGGTGACACGGTGATACGGATTTCATAGTTAACACGGACTTGGGGCTGTAATTCATGACTCTGGGACTGGCACAGCCGTCAGGGCTCAGAGGTAGGGCCCAGGCAGGGCTGGCTGTTGGAAGCCGAGCCCGGCCCTGCGTCTTTTCCTGCCAGCTCTGGCAGTTTGGCCGCTGGGTGGACGTCGTGGTGGATGACAGACTGCCCGTGCGTGAGGGGAAGCTGATGTTTGTGCGCTCGGAACAGCGGAACGAGTTCTGGGCCCCACTCCTGGAGAAGGCCTACGCCAAGTGAGGATTCCAGTTCCACCCAGCTGCAGCCCAAGTCCCCACAGCAGACACCAAGCCACCGGGGGGCCTAGAGTCCCCCAAGCTATTCAGTCCTCCACACACCTCCCAAGAATCCCAAGCCAAGTGACAACCCCGCAATCCTAATATCCCAGCAGCCCTGGGCACCTTCACATCATTTTTGTTTTGTTTTTTGTTTGTTTTGAGATGGAGTCTCGCTCTGTCACCAGGCTGGAGTGCAGTGGTGCAATCTCAGCTCAACGCAAAGTCTGCCTCTCTGGTTCCTGCGATTCTCCTGTCTCAGCCTCCCGAGTAGCTGGGATTACAGGCACACACCACCATGCCCGACCAATTTTTGTATTTTTTAGTAGAGATGGGTTTTCACCATGTTGGCCAGGCTGGTCTCCAACTCCTGATCTCAGGTGATCCACCTGCCTCGGCCTCCCAAAGTGCTGGGATTACTAGGTGTGAGCCACCGTGCCCAGCTGTATCTTCAAATCTTTTTTTTTTTTTTTTTTTTTTTTTTGAGACGGGGGTTTATTTTTTTTACCCAGGGTGGAATGCAATGGCGCGATCTCGGCTCACCGCAACCTCCGCCTCCTGGGTTCAGGCAATTCTCCTGCCTCAGCCTCCTGAGTAGCTGGGATTACAGGCACGCACCACCATGCCCAGCTAATGTTTTCATATTTTTAGTAGAGACGGGGTTTCACCATGTTGACCAGGATGGTCTTGATCTCTTGACCTTGTGATCTACCCGCCTCGGCCTCCCAAAGTGTTGGGATTACAGGCTTGAGCCACCGCGCCCGGCCCGTATCTTCAAATCTTAAACCCGTCTCTCCATCTATCAATATTTCATAGAAAACATTCCTGGAGACCCCCAATCACCCATAATTCTTAAGGATCCTGAAATCTCAAATATCAGGCCCTGGATTCGCCAAATCTGAGATTTATCCCCTCAGGTGACCTGTATTCTTAGATTGTCTCTCCTGGTCCAGTGAGAAATCCAAAGCACCCCCAAAATATTGGGTGTCATTTTGGGACCCTCAAATCTTTGCCTTTTCCCCATTTTGAGGCTCTGAAATTCCTGACAAGCCCCCATACAGATGACCCCCAAAGCGGACATCTCCCAGAGGCTCAAGGTTTCAGACACAGTACCAGAACTGACAGAATTCTTTTTTTTTTTTTTTTTTTTCTTTTGAGACTGAATCTTGCTCTGTCACCCAGGCTGGAGTGCAAAGGCATGGTCTCAGCTCACCACAACTTCTGCCTCCAAGGTTCAAGCAATTCCCCTGCCTCAGCCTCCCGAGTAGCTGGGATTACAGGCACCTGTCACCATACCAAGCTAATTTTTGTATTTTTAGTAGAGATGGGGTTTCACCATGTTGGCCAGGCTGGTCTCCAACTCCTGACCTTGTGATCCACCCACCTCAGCCTTCCAAGTGTTGGGATTACAGGCATGAGCCACTGCGCCTGGCAGACTGTCATAATTCTAACAAAGCTCTCCCCTGCCCCCTGCCAAACCGAAGTCCTGGGTGCCCACGGGACCACAGACCCAATCTCCAAGGGTTTGTGTGTGTGCCACAGTTCCCCATCTCGAGTCAGAAAATTTTTGAGCTGGGTGTGGCAGTGTGCACCTGTGGTCCCAGCTCCTTGGGAGGCCGAGGTGGGAGGAGGATTGCTTGAACCCAGGAGGTTGAGGCTACGGTGAGCTGAGTTCATGCCACTGCACTCCGGCCTGGGCCACAGAGTGAGACCCTGAGAAAAGCCTCAAATCTTCAGGAATTGCCCCCAGGGATTCCACACCCTGAGATAGAGGCCCCTGCCGATCCCAGGACAGGGGTACCTGAAATGCTTGTACGGCTTCAACCCTCACCCCAGATCTGCCCCCACAGGCTCCACGGCTCCTACGAGGTGATGCGGGGCGGCCACATGAATGAGGCTTTTGTGGACTTCACAGGTGGCGTGGGTGAGGTGCTCTATCTGAGACAAAACAGCATGGGTCTCTTCTCTGCCCTGCGCCACGCCCTGGCCAAGGAGTCCCTCGTGGGCGCCACTGCCCTGGTAAGAAACCTGGACTCCCATGGGGACGCCCTACCAGGACCAGAGCACAGTCGGGGGTGTGGTGTGGTGGGGTGGGGGGAGTGCTTCCTGCTCTTCTCTGCTTCTGTTATTGGCTTAAGCTCGCGCATAAAACTAGTCAAAAATAAACTTATTTGCTCCCATAATGAATCAGGTCAGGCACAGATGGATCCAGGATCTGAGGGTGTTGCAACCATGTTTATTTCTCCAACTGCGTTAGTGTCGCTCTCGGCCAGCTTCTCCCCTCATGGGCATAGAAGGGTCCTCCAAAGCTGCACATAACACCTACCACCCCAGGGTTTATTTTTTTAAAAAAAGAGTGCTACTTTCTGAGAATTTCAGCAAAAGTCCCAGGAATGATTCTCATGGGCTTAGCTTGGGTCATGTGTTCGTCTGTGACCCCATGACACACTCATTCACTGAGTTGTTCTAACTCCTTCACTCAGTCATTTATTTAAATCCTCTACTGAGTTCCTACTTCTTTGTCTTTTGTGTCACTGTGTCTTTCTTTGTCTCTATGTCTCTCTCTCCTCTTTCCATCTTTTTTTTTTTTTTTAAATAGAGACAGGGTTTCACTGTGTTGGTCAGGCTGGTCTTGAACTCCTGATCTCAGGTGATCCACCCGCCTTGGCCTTCCAAAGTGCTGGGATTACAGGCGTGAGCCACCACGCCTGGGCTTTTTTTTTTTTTTTTTTTTTTGAGATGGAGTCTTGCTCTGTCACCCAGGTCAGAGTGCAGTGACATGATCTTGGCTCATTGCAACCTCTGCCTCTCAGTTCAAGCAACTCTCCTGCCTCAACCTCCCAAGTAGCTGGGCTTACAGGTGCACACCACCACGCCTGGCTAATTTTTGTAGTTTTTGTGGAGACAGTGTTTCACCATGTTGGCCAGGCTGATCTCGAACTCCTGACCTCGTGATCCATCTGCCTCAGCCTCCCAAAGTGCTGGGATTACAGGAGTGAGCTGCCGTGCCCAGCCCTCTTTCCATCTGTTTTGTTTTTTTGGAGACACGGTCTCACCTCACTCTATCACCCAGGTTGGAGTGCATTAGTGTCGTCACAGCTCACTATAGCCTTGACCTCCTGGGCTCAAGGGATCCTCCTGCCTCAGCCTCCTGAGTAGCCAGGATCACTGGTGTGCACCACCATGCCCGTCAAATTTTAAAATTTTTTTGTAGAGTTGGGGTCTTGCTATGTTGCCCAGGCTGATCTCGGACTCGTGGCCTCAAGCAGTCCTTCCACCTTGACCTTCCGAAATGCTGGGATGATGGGCGTGAGCCTGTGCTTCCATATTCTGTTGTCTCTTTCCTATCTCCCTTCCTCTCCTTTTCTCTCTCAGCTTCAGTAACTAACCCGGACACGGTCTCTGAGCTGCGTGCCATTCAGCTCAGTGCTCTGGTTGGCTCCTGCCTTGGTGGCAGGAGGTTAGGGGCAGGGAGGAACAGTTACTTTCCTGTCCCCGGCCTCGGCCTCACCATCCCTTCCGTTGCCCAGAGTGATCGGGGTGAGTACCGCACAGAGGAAGGCCTGGTGAAGGGACACGCGTATTCTGTCACGGGCACACACAAGGTGAGTGTACCCCGTGGGTGGGGTGACAGGCCATGTCCAGGCATCACGCCCACTGACGATGCTGCCCCCAGGTGTTCCTGGGCTTCACCAAGGTGCGGCTGCTACGGCTGCGGAACCCATGGGGTCGCGTGGAGTGGACTGGGGCATGGAGCGACAGGTGGGATGGGCATGGGGCGGGTGTGGGGCTGGACCCCACCTGCCCGCCCCTCACACCTGTCTCTCTCCAGCTGCCCACGCTGGGACACACTCCCCACCGAGTGGCGCGATGCCCTGCTGGTGAAAAAGGAGGATGGCGAGTTCTGGTCAGTTCATCAGGGTCCCAGCTCTGCCTCTAGGGGGCGCATTGCGGTTGAAGGGTGGGTCCTAATAGGGAGAAACTGTGGACATCGGTGGTAATTTTTGGGCCAGGTTCTATTTGGGGAAGTCAAGGGAGAACTGGTAGTAATATTAGAGTGCCTCTGATTGGAGTGGGTTTAAAAAAGTAGTAATATAAGGCCAGGCACGGTGGCTCACGCCTGTAATCCCAACACTCTGGGAGGCCGAGGCGGGCAGGTCAAGAGATAGAGACCATCCTGACCAACATGGTGAAACCCCGTCTCTACTAAAAATACAAAATTAGCTGGACGTGGTGGCACGTGCCTGTAATCCCAGCTACTCAGTAGGCTGAGGCAGGAGAATCGCTTGAACCCGGGAGGTGGAGGTTGCAGTAAGCCGGGATCATGCCATTGCACTCCATCCTAGGTGACAGCGAGACTCCGTCTAAAAAAAAAAAAAAAAAAAAAAAAAAAGTAGGGGAATTTGGAGGCATAGTTATCTATGGAGGGTTGGAATGGATGAGCAGCAGTATTTAGGGCAATGGAGGAAAGCTTGGTGACATTTGGGGCATTTCTTGAGACTTGGCAATGTTGAGGGGCTGATGGATACCTGTTGGTAATTCAGAGTCTGAGGGTCTTGCAATTTGGGGGTTGGTGGCAATTTAAAGGTATTTGGGGGCAGTTTGTTAATCTTGGCGATTTGTGGGTCATGCCTGAGGACTTAGAGGAATTTGGGGGAGCTAGAGGCCCGGCCATCTGGGGGCCATTTCTGGAGCCTGAAGGGTACTTGGCAATATTTAAGAAATGTGGGGGGCTTTGGGATCTGGGGGTCTGGGGACAACCCTCGAGGTGTGGGGCCAGGCACAGTCTGACCGCGCCACTATACAGGATGGAGCTGCGGGACTTCCTCCTCCACTTCGACACCGTGCAGATCTGCTCGCTGAGCCCGGAGGTGCTGGGCCCTAGCCCGGCGGGGGGCGGCTGGCACGTCCACACCTTCCAAGGTCGCTGGGTGCGCGGCTTCAACTCCGGAGGGAGCCAGCCTAATTCTGGTGAGGCCTGAGGGGCCCTGGTGAGGCTCGAAGGGGTGGGGGGTTGCTGTGGCCAGCTGGGAATCCCCCCTTTCTTCCTCCTCCCTTAGAAACCTTCTGGACCAATCCTCAGTTCCGTTTAACGCTGCTGGAACCCGACGAGGAGGAGGACGAGGATGAGGAAGGGCCCTGGGGGGGCTGGGGGGCTGCAGGGGCGCGGGGCCCAGCGCGGGGGTGCCGCACGCCCAAGTGCACAGTCCTCCTATCGCTCATCCAGCGCAACCGGCGGCGCCTGAGAGCCAAGGGCCTCACTTACCTCACCGTGGGCTTCCACGTGTTCCAGGTGAGGTCCTGGTTAGAGCTAACGCTGGAGGGAACCCCGAGGGTGAAGGGGCGGGGGCAAGGGGATCAGGGGAGGAGTGAGGGGCGGGGCCAGTGGGAGGAGGAGAGGAGAGGTGAGGGGCGGAGCCGAGGGAAGCAGAAGAGGCGTGGGGGGCGGGGCCGAGGGAAAGGAGGAAGCGTGGAGGGGCGGGGCCTAGGAGCAGGCGAGGAATGGAGGGGCGAGGCCAAAGGGAAGAGGGGAGCTGTGGAGGGGCGGGGCGGGAAGGGAGGGGGGGTCGAGTAGGGCTCAGACGGGATAGGGAGGTAAGGAAATGAGAGGGAGGGGGTCCGAAGGGCCACAGGGGTCCAAGGAGACAGAGAAGGCGCTGAGAGCGCAGATAGCGGAGGAAAGGTTGGGGAAGGGAAGGCGAGGGGTGGGTCGGGGACTGCGGGGGCAGAGGTTCAATAAGGGTCTAATAGGACGAAGGAGGAGGGAGAGGGCAGAGGGGTGAGGAGGGGCGAGGCGGGGCAGGGAGGGGAGCCTGAGTGGCTGCCACCTCTCCCCTGCTCCGATTCCCCTTGCTTCTGCTTTCAGATTACAGAGGAGGTAAGTCTGGGATGGGGTCAACCGGACCCGGGGCTTGGTCCACCTGCGCTGGGGATGGCGGGCAGAGCCGGGGTCCAAAGGCAAGGGGAGGCGTGGAGGGAGGGGGGTGGGCAGAGTGGACGGGGCGGGCTGGAGGGCGGGGGGGTGAGCCTGGTCCGTGGTCACGCCGCCCTGTCCCCAGCTGCTGGGCCTCTGGGACTCCCCGCGCAGCCGCGCGCTCCTGCCCCGGCTGTTGCGCGCCGACCGCTCGCCCCTCTGCGCCCGCCGCGACGTGAGCCGCCGCTGCCGCCTGCGCCCCGGACACTACCTGGTGGTGCCAAGTGCCGCCCACCCCGGCGACGAGGCCGACTTCACTCTGCGTGTGTTTTCTGAGCGCCGCCATACGGCAGTGTGAGCCCCAGGGACCCAGATCCGACCCCACCCGCGCCTAGACAGGCCTCGAGACCCCTGAGACCTGACCCACGAGGATGAGTCCAGAGCCCCACCATCCCCACCTAGACCCCACCTAGACCCCACCTAGACCCCACCTAGACCCCACCTAGACCCCACCTAGGCCCCACCTAGGCCCCACCTAGACCCCACGCGAGTCCAGCTGAGATCCCGCCCGCCACAGCCCCAGCTGGAACCAACAGCCCCCTCCCCACCTCCTGTTTGTAATTTGCAGGGAGATTGACGACGTGATCAGCGCAGACCTGCAGGCTCTCCAGGTGTGGGCTGTTCGGGGAGGGGAGGGCCACGTTGGGGCGGGGGTTTTGGCCAGAACTAAACTTCCCCCATGCCACAGGGCCCCTACCTGCCTCTGGAGCTGGGGCTGGAGCAACTGTTTCAGGAGCTGGCTGGAGAGGTGAGGAGGGGGAGTAGGTGAGGGCCTCCCCCTGCTGCCTCCCCTTAGGAAACCCCACCCCCACATCACAGGTGTCTCATTTTACTTTACTTTTTCTTCTCTTGAGCTGAAATCTCCTGGCCTCCTTTTCTTGAAATGCTAACAGCTCCTCCCTGCCTCAGGGCCTTGGGCTCAGTCATACCCTCTCTCAGGACCACCGTCTATCTCCAGACACCTCGGCCTGGCTCAGGCCTCATAGAAGGTGCTCAGCCTGAAAGCTCTCCCTGACCCTCCCCCAGGCTGGTGTGCTGCCCGCCACCGGCTCCCACAGCCCCTCGCTTCCCCCATCACAGCCCTGGCCCTGTGGGAATAGGTCTGTCTACCCGACTCCTGGAGCTACAGCTCTGAGGCTGTCAGCCCCTGCTGTGTCTCTAGCTAGGCCCAGCACTGCTGTGAGGCCATGAGTAAATGGCCTCACAAGCTCTTTCCTGGACTAGGAGGAGGAACTCCGTGCCCCTCAGCTCCAGGCCTTACTAAGCATTGCCCTGGAGCCTGGTGAGTTGGCTGGGATGGGGTGGGAGGACGGGTCTTAGCCAGGGGTCCTGTAACCAGAGCCACCCCCTGTCTGTTAACCCATCGTGCTGCTGGGAGTTGGGCCCAGGAAGCCAGGGCTCAGCCTGGTAGCATCTCCCTGCACTGGACCTTGTGTGGGCCCCTGGATGTGGGCCACGCCTACTCACAAGGTCCCCTTCTGCTGAGAGGCAATGCTGCCTTGAGCACAGCCTGGGAAATCCCTGCCTGGATCTGAATCCCAGTTGTGCTCGTCACAGCAGTCACTGGCTCCCTGTACCTTGGCATCTATAACCCAGGGCTGACAACAGTGCCTGCTTGAGGGAGTCATGTCTGAGGGGCCCTTAGAGTGGTGGGCAGCATGCAGGAAGTGCTGTGGTTTTTGTTGTTCCTATAGCCAGGGCTAACACCCGAACCCCTGGAGAGATCGGGCTCAGGACCTGTGAGCAGCTGCTGCAGTGTTTCGGGGTACATGGGGGGCATTGCCTAGGTGAGGGAGCGGGGAAGGGGACGTTGGGCTCTCTTCCTCTTCTGGAGACATTGACCTTAACCAGATGTCCCCCCCCCCCCCCAATCCTGCAACACAGCATGGGCGAAGTCTGACCTTGCACCACTTCCATCGGCTCTGGGGCCACCTCCTGGAGTGGCAGGTAAGTGGGAGACTGGGCCTTCAGAAAGAAACCTTTACTGACAGAGACCTAGGCTATCACGGCCCTGGGGAACACGGGCGCCGTGTGTGTGTGGGTGGGTAGAGGGGGGAAGGGGGGAGGGACTGGACTATGCTGACTTGGAGCGATCTGGCTGGGATATCCCTGCCCTGCCTGGCCTCAGCTTGTCCTCTGGGGACATTGCTTGCTTTTTTTTTTTTTTTTTTTTTTTTTTTGAGATGGAGTCTCACTCTGGCTGGAGTGCAGTGGCATGATCTCAGCTCACTGTAACCTCTGCCTCCCTGGTTCAAGCGATTCTCCTGCCTCAGCCTCCTGAGTAGCTGAGCTTACAGGCACCAGGCACCTGACACCACACCTGGCTAAATTTTGTATTTTTAGTAGAGACACATTTCCCCACTTTGGCCAGGCTGGTCTCGGCCTCCTGACCTCAAGTGATCCGCCCACCTTGGCTTCCCAAAGTGCTGGGATTGCAGGTGTGAGCCACCGCCCTTGGCCAACAGGACATTGCTCTACAGATTGAGAAATAGAAGTCCAAATCGATTAGGCCGCTTAGGGGGGTCCACACCAGAAGAAAGGGAGTTGGGATGGACACCAGGCTGTCTGGACTGGAGGCCCCATTTGCAGCCCTCTTCAGGGCCTTGGGGGCTGACCCTGACTCATCCCTCCTGCTCAGGCCATATTCAACAAGTTCGATGAGGACGCCTCTGGAACCATGAATTCCTACGAGCTGAGGCTGGCCCTGAATGCAGCAGGTAGGGACTGGGTCCTGGGGTGGTCTTGGGAGGACCTATTCTCTCTCATCCCATTGTCTCCAAGTCCACCCGCTCAGGACCTTCTGCACCACAGCCATCCAGAAGTTCATACCTTAGTTTGTTGTGGGCCTGTCTGCCACCACACAGCAGAGGGAGCCATAGGGAGATGGGGGCTGGGGTGACTGTGATGGAGTCAGAGAGCCGAGGCTGAGAGTTTGGCTATGGCTGTGAATGTAAGACCCAGAGAGGTGTTCAAGTGTCCAGGCCTGTGTAAGAAAAGAGCCAGCCAGTCACAGTGGTTCACGCCTGTAATCCCAGCACTTTGCGAGGCTGAGGTGGGCAGGTTGCTTGAGCCCAGGAGTCTGAGACCAGCCTGAGCAATGTAATGAGGCCTCATCTCTTTTTTTTTTTTTTTTTTTTTTTTTTAAAAAGAGAGGCCAGGCATGGTGGCTCACGCTTATAATCCCAGCACTTAAAAATACAAAAATTAGCCGGGTGTGGTGGTGTGCACCTGTAATCCCAGCTACTTGGAAGGCTGAGGCAGGAAAATCACTTTAATCCAGGAAGCAGAGGTTGCAGTGAACCAAGATTGCGCCATTGCACTCCAGCATGGGCAACAAGAGGGAGCCGACTCTGTCTCAAAAAGTCAGGGAGGGGGTGGAAGACAGCCAAGGATTGGAAGATGTGGGGCAGAGAGGGAGAGGCTGGGCCAGAGGTAGACGGGAGCAGAGGTGAGGGCGCAGGGACTCAGAGTGCAGGTGGCAGGCTTGTGTTCACACATCTGGCACCACTGAGCGCTTGCTACATGCCAGGAGTTATTCCAGGAAGAAGGAAACTGATAAAAGTGCCCTTGAGGACAATTTCTTGAATGGGAATTCCTGCAGGCGCAGCTGAGGGGCTCCAGCTCTTCTCGGGTCCTTCCACCCCATCTGGCTGGGTAGCCCCGGTCATGGCAGCCCCTATGCCAGAGGGAGAGTGACCTGGGGCAGGTCCCTGGGGGGCTGCAGGGCTCAGAAGCAGCTTCCCCCAGGCTTCCACCTGAACAACCAGCTGACCCAGGCCCTCACCAGCCGCTACCGGGACAGCCGTCTGCGTGTGGACTTCGAGCACTTCGTGTCCTGTGTGGCCCAGCTCACCTGCATCTTCTGTGAGTACCCCCCCTGGCACGGGAGAAAGGGTATGGAGACTGGTGGGCATTGACCCAGCTCCTCTCTGTACAGGCCACTGCAGCCAGCACCTCGATGGGGGTGAGGGGGTCATCTGCCTGACCCACAGACAGGTGAGCTAGGTGGGAGGGACAGGGTGGCTCGGGCACTGTCCTGGGAGCTCCCTGCCTCAAGCCCACCGTCTTCCTTCTTTTACTTAGTGGATGGAGGTGGCCACCTTCTCCTAGGATCTCAGGACGGGAGAACTGACCAAGACCACCGCCCCTGGCACAGGTGTGCTGCTCTGTCTGGCATCCACCTGCCTGGCGCTGGCCTTGGGCCCGTGTCCTCCACTCAGAAACAAGGACAGCAGATGACACAAGCTGGTCCACATTAATGGCTTAGGACAGTGCTAATTCTGCCCTGGCTCTCCTAGGAAGTGGAGAACAGATGCAGCAGAGGGGGGGAAAAAAAGGGACACTGCAGGAATCCTTCTGAAAAATATTACATGTTTTATTATCCTGTCCCCAGAGGGTGGTTTATCCAGAAACCGAGGGAAAAAAATCAATCATCAGAATAAACTCAAAAAAAAAAAAAAAAAAAAAAAAAGGTAGAGGGAGCAAAACCATCAACCACCAGGCAGCCACGCCAGCAGCCCACCTCCACCTCCGGAGGGTCCCCAGAGCCCCATGCCCAACGCAGACCCAGAGGAACGTCAGGGAGGGGATGGGCTATGTCTTCATTGCAAGAGCAGGAGAGACGGCAGAGATATGTTGCTAGGTGAATATATATTTATATAATAAATCCGTAAGTTAATAAAGTAAATAGTAATTCTCTGAAATTTTTTTTAGTTTTATGGTTTTGTGGTTTTTTTTTTGGTTTTTGTTGTTTTGTGTTTTTTTTTTTTTTTTTTTTTTTTTTTTTTTGGTCCTTAGAAAATCGGAGACATGTGAGGCCAGACAAAGCAAGGCTGGGGCTGGTGGGATTCGGAGGGGCCCCGTCTGCTAATCCAGCTCCTCTGCTGTGAAAGCAGGGAGCTGGGTGGGGCCCCCATCTCCTGGCAATGGCAAGTGAGTATGGAGCAGGGAGTGGAGAGGGGCTGGGTGGGGACCCAGCTGTCGGGTGGTGGCGCCCTCTGCTGGCCCCAGGCAGTTCCTGGACAAGGCACATGGGGCTTTGGCCTGGATGGGGGAGGCCTTGAAGGGACCTCAGGGGCAAAGAAAGAGACCTGGGTGTGGTGGGGCATTCCCAGGGCATGGAGGGGACTGGTTTTGTTGTGGGAATCCAGTGGCCCCTCCACGATGGTTTAAAAAGCACAAGCCCCAAGTCTCCCAGGCCCCACCTGGTCTGGGGAACCTCCTGGCCAAACCAGAGAGAGAGCCTGCCTCAGCCCCTCCCTGGCCACCCACCCACGCTGGAGGACTGCAGAGTGCTTTGCATAGATAGAGTGGAGGGACAGGACTGTGGGGCTTCCGCGGCCCCTCCTGGAGGCCGTGGGGGGGTGTTTGGTCTGGGTCTCGGGGGCCTCACAGGTCGCTCTCGCCATACAGGGCGGTGGAGAAGGACTTGTAGTCGAGGGCACCGGGCACGGCATCAGGGCCCTGGTAGGGTGCCATGCGGGCAATACAGTACTCGGCCTGGTCGGGGGGCAGCTCTCTCCGCAGTTCCTCGGCTGTGATGAAGTTCTGGGATCGGCAGGATGGGACTCTGAGCCATCCCCACCCACATACTGGCTCCCTCAGCCCCTCCCCATGCAGGGACCCCTCTTGCCAGCCCCCATGTGCCTCATGGGGTCTCACCTTGTCCCCTGCCAGGACCTTGAAGGAGGCGATGACCTGGTCGGCCGTGTCCGTGTCGGTGGTCTCTCGAGACATGAAGTCGATGAAGGCTTGGAAGGTCACAAGGCCGCTGTGGTTGGGGTCGACCAGGCTCATGATGCGGTTGAACTCAGCGTCACCCTGCAAGGAGGTAGTGGGGTGGGGGATACCCAACATTGAGTGGGGCAGGGGCAGCCAGGCCCACACCGGTGGGGTCTCCAGAAAAACAGCCAGGAGAGCAGGGCCCACCCCACGTGCGCATCCGCCCTGTTCCCTAGCTGCTCCGGCTGCCCCAGGCCCCCAGTGCCCCAGGCAGGGGAGCAGGGCCCCTTTGCATCCTCCCCTCCCGTGGTCTCTGACAGCAGAGACCTGGGGTCTACTGCCCTCAGCACAGGCTCATGAGTTAGCTCTGGAGGGTGGGGAAGAAAGAGAGAAAGAGAAAGAAAAGGGGGAGAGCATGGGAGAGCTGCCTTCCCTCTCTGGAGACTTCTAGGGAAGAAGAGGGGCTCAGGAAGTCATCGGAGGGACCCCACCCCGGCAGGTGCAACAGAGGAGGCAGGCCCCGCTGCACTGCTCGGGCAGAGGAGTGTCCCCGAGGACGAGGAAGCTCTGGAGGTGGTGAGGGGGAGAGGCAGGACAGGAGGAGGAGCGGGTGGCTGGGGAGACAGAACTGCATACCAGGCTGTATCCTGTGGAGATAAGCAGAGCCCTGAAGTCATCGGAGTCCATGCTGCCTGTCTGCTTCTGCTCCGAGGACGCAGGCATAGCAGAGGAGGCCGGGCCCAGAGTAGGCAAGAGGGGCCGCCCCATGTGCACAGCGGGCAGACAGGACAGTGGCGGGGAGCAGGGAGACAGCGGCCCCGAGAGACCAGGTAAGGGGGAAGGTGTCCAGGGAGACGAGGGCAGGGAGGCAAGAGAGCCGTGAGATGGCACACAGGTTGCAGGGGTGGGATGGCGAGGGGAGAAAGAGAGAAGGAGAGAGAGAGAGAGCAGTTAATGCCAAGGTCCGCTGGGGCCCAAGGTGCAGTACCTGCCGGTCGTTCTCCACGTCGTAGCCCAGGCTGATGAGGCAGGCCTTGAACTCCTCGGGCCCCAGCGCCCCGCCATGGTCCTGCCGGGGCCATCCGAAGGCAGGTGTACGGGAGGGGCGGCATGGATGAGGGATCAGGGCCACATGCAGAGGGCAGGGGGAGGGGACACGTAGGGGAGGGAAACACAGAGTTAGAGGCGATGTGGACAAAGAGATGGCCAGGGCCCCATGGGGCTGGGGGCGGCTCAGGCCCCTTTCATCCTGCTCCCCACCTCAGAGGCTCAGAAGCAGGCAGAGGCCTCCCCCACCTCTCTGCCCATAGCAGGGGTGGAAGCTGGGAGCTACAGACTTGAGGATGAGTCCCAGGACTGGTGGGGGGTAGGGGGACTCTCCTTGCCTTTGGAATTTGGAGTAGGACAGAGGAAACTGCACCCCATCCTGGGGCACACCAGGTGCAGAGCTGAGGCTGCACATGCCTAGCCAGCTGGGGGATGCGTCAGCCCAGCAGGGTGGGCTGGGGCGGGCAGCAAAGTGTGGTGCTCAGGGGTCTTCTGATGGGGCTGCCGGACCAAATCTGAATTCTAAAAGCACCGTGTGGGATGTCTGTGTCCAGATTCACAGACAGGGTCACAAAGCCTGTGTGTGCTGAGACTTCCGCCCCAGAGGGCATGACTTGGGGCCCCCAGCCCCCTGTCTATGTGTGTGAAGTGGCCTAGGTTAGGGTCTCAGTGCTGCATGGCCGCACCCCGACAGTAGCAGGGCCCTGGGAATGTCGGCCAACAACTCAGCAACTGTGACGGGAATGGACAAACAGACGCAGAAACGAGGGGGCAGGATAGGACAGCAGTGGTGGGGAGGGGAGAGGCCAAGGAGGTGGCAGGCCACTCACCTTGTCAAAGTGGTTGAAGGACGCCCGGAACTCCTGCATCTGCTCCTGGCTGATGCCCTTGGCGTCGCGGGTGAGGATTTGGTTCTCCACCTCGTTGATGGTGCGGGCGATGGTGGTGAGCAGCTGCTCCCAGCCCACGCGGATGTGCTGGGGGAGGACAGGGGTGTGACCGTGGGCTGGGCATGGTGGAGTGTCCTCACCTTTGGGGGATGGCTTCAGGAGCCTGCCCAGCCCTGGAGAAAGCCCCCTGCTCTCCTGTATGCCTCACTAGGGCCACGGGCCGGGGTACCTCTGCTGCCTTTGCCAACCTTGGGGTTTATGTCTCCACAGTAAATCTGTTTCCTGGCTATGGGGGCAGCGAAGAGGCAAGGACTTATGCCGGGATCGCTGTGGAGATGGGACATACGCTGGCCAGTCTCATCCCTGGCTCTCAGGGGAAAAAAACAAAAAAGCCAACTCTGGTTGGAGGCATCTGTGGACCTGTACTGGGTGGATCAACAGTATGCAATCTTTTGGCTTCTCAAGCTAGCCGTATGACAGTGACCAGCTTGTAACGTCCCTGGCACGTTAGCCAGTGGGAGCTGCTGCACAGGCTCTGGCCCCAAGAAGGCTGATACTGCGGAGGCCACAGGGCAAATGGTGCCCTCAGTGAGCCTCTGGACCAGCTTGTCCTGTGAGGGGCATTGTCTTGGTGATGAGCACTGCTCTCATTTTGATCTAGTCATTTCAATCCTTTTTTTTTTTTTTTTTTTTTTTTTTTTGGAGACAGGGCCTGGCTCTGTCACCTAGACTGGAGTGTGGTGCATAACCTTGGCTCATCTCAACCTCCACCTCCCTGGCTCAAGCAGTCCTCCTACCTCAGCCTCCTGGGGAGCTGGGACTATAGGCATGCACCACCATGCCTGGCTAACATTTTCATTTTTTGTGGAGACAGGGTCTTGCTATGTTTCCCAGGCTGGTCTTGAACTCTTGGGCTTAAGCCATCCTCCCACCTCAGCCTCCTAAAGTGCTGGCCTTCCCAATCATTGTTAAACAGAGTGAAGAAATGACAGCAGACAGCTATCTTCTCACTGGCCCAAACCACCTCCAGTGAGGAAGCCAGCCATGCTGGTGGAAAGGCCAGAGGGTGGGGCGGCCACGCACCTCCATGGTGTAGTTGGTGTGCTTGTTGTCGAAGATGAGGGCCTCCTGGATGAGCTGGTGCTGCTGCTCTAGCAGGTCCAGGTTGGGCTTGTAGTCCACGATGCTGCGCTCGTACTGCTTCAGGTGGCTCAGCTGGTCCTCCAGGGTCCCGTTCATCTCAATGGAGATGCGCCCGATCTCCTACCGGGTGGGTGCAGGCGGTGGGGTGAGGCTGGTGGGCCTGCCAACCCTGACCATCTAGGGGAGCCCACTCCCACTACGGGCCTGCATCTCCCGGGGCCCCTCCAACTAGGAGCCTTGGCCTGTGGGTTCCTGGAAGGGAAGGCCCGCCGCTCATGACTGTCCCCTCTGGTCCTGCCCTCTCATGTTAAAGCAGCCATGACTGACAAGGAGGAGGCTTTCTCTGCCAAGCGCTCCCTATGCCCAACTTCATTTTACCCTTGACCTCTCTGTGAGGCTGGGACTGTGGCAGGCCCTGACTGCAGAGGTAAAAACCGAGGCTCAAGGAGGACAGGTGCGAGGGATTCCAGGCACAAGCTCTGTGGACTCTCCTAACCCTGCAGAGTGCTCAGGGCCCCCAGCTGGTGAGAGTTGGGACCTGCTCTGCCAGGCGTCCATCTGTAGGCCCTGGGCTGGCCAGGGACCCCTCACTAGGGGAGCTCCCTTGGTGCCTTCTCAGCTCTGCCAGGCTGAACCGGTGCCTCACCTCCATCTTGGTCTGGATCCAGGGCCCTACGACGTTGGCCTGGCTGGCGAACTGGCGGCGCAGATGCTCGTTAGACTGCTGCTTGCTCTGCTCCTCCAGGAGGGCATGGTCCCGCTTTGGCACCAGCTGCTGTACCTGGTGGAGGGGACGTGGAGCGGGAGTGGTCAGGGAGGTGGCCCCCAGCCCCACCAGCCTGTCCCAGCCCCTTCTGACAGCCCCAGCCCACCTTCTCCCACTTGGAGTTGATGATCTGCGGGGTGACGGTGGTATAGGGGTTGCTGCCCGACAGCTTGATGTGGTTGCTCTCAGCAATCCTCTGGGCCTCCTTGTGGATGGCCAGGATGGCCTCGCGCTCCCTGTCGGCGTCCGGCAGCGTGGACTTGAACTGGTCGTGGGCTGAGATCAGGCCCTGGGGAAGGAGCTGGAGTGAGGGGGCGGCCCAGTCCCACAGAGGCCCTTGGAAAGGTGAGGGGCCAGGGGGCGCGGACCTCAATCTCCTCGATGGTGTGGACGATGAACATGTCCTGGAGGTCCTCCATGGCGCTCTCCATCCAGTTGTTGAAGGGGGCTGCGCGCTTGGCATACTCCAGGTGCAGCTGGTCGATGGCCTCCAGCTGCTTCTCTGTTTTCTGGCGTGTGGGGGAAGGAGGCAGGGACAGAAGGCAGGCAGGTGAATATGTGAGCAGGATCGGCGGGGAGGGGCCCGGAGGGCACTAAGGAGTCAGAGAATGTCCTCTCTGGGAGCTGGGGGAGCTCACAGGTGTGGGCACTGTTCACACCACCAGCCCCAGGACATCAGGGGCACAGGGTTCCATGGGTGATGTCACCCCCTCCTTACCTCCAGGGCTTCCCTGCGACTGTGGGTCAGAGAGCCAAGGGCATCCCACTGGTCGCAGATCTTCTGGCACCGGGTGTTGACATTGTGGGAGTCATAGTAATCCAGCTCGCTGCGGGCCGGGCAGATAGCAATGAGACCCGGCAGGGGCAGATGGCGGGCGGCTGGGACCCACCTACCACCAGGGCTCCCAGGGTGGGGTGTTGGGACAGTCAACATTCCAGGACATCAACAACAATCACTAATCAATCAATCACTGCTCCGTTCTGGCCCCTGGGATCCCCAGGGGTGCTATCAGGGGCCGCCTCCAGCTCACCCACCCCTGACTCATTCTGCCACTGTCAGCTAAGAGTATGGCCCTTCCAACCAGGCCTGGAGGCCTGAAGAGTAGAGGGCAGGGAATGACCTTGGGAGGAACAGGACATGGGAACCAGGGGAGCCAGCCACAGAAGGGCAGGCAGGGGCTGAGGCCGTGCTCCACAGTAGGGCTGGGGGACTGGGCTCCATTCCTGTCTCAACCACTCCCTTGCTGTGTAACCCTGGCAAACCCCTTGGCCTCTCTGTGCCTTGGTTCCCTCAGTAACGCGCTGCTGGGGGGATTAAATGAGCTGATACACATACAGTCTGGAGAGCGAGGTGAGTTTTTGCTGTCGACATTAATCAGCGCTCAGCGGGGCTGCCCATCGGCTCATCCTAGACGGTCCACAGGCCTCTGTAATTCCCCCTCAGCGGAACAGACAGCACCCAGACAGCCCTCCCTTCTGTTCCTCCAGGGCTACCATCCAGAAAGCTGCTTCGGGACCCACGTTCCCAAGCAGGGTAATGGGTTTCACAGGGCATTGCCCAGAGCCTGAGAAGGGTTTATTCTAAGTCTGTTTCCTCCCAGTTTCCAGGGGCTCCCCCGTCACTAGGGAAGATTCCTGTGTCCCACCCCCACACTGCCAAGGGGGATGCGTGTGTGGCCTTGATCTCCTTGGCCTGGACGTGGTGGTGGCAGGACCCCTGGGGTGCCCCAACTATGCCGAATAAGCAGCTGTGGTTCCCAGTGCTGTGGCGGCCCCAGTGCCTCTGGCTGAGGCCGTGGGGAAGCCTCAAAGCACCTGGCACCTGGGCGCGATGGCTCACGCCTGTAATCCTAGAACTTTGGGAGGCCGAAGTGGGTGGATCACCTGAGGTCAGGAGTTCAAGACCAGCCTGGCCATCATGGTGAAACCTCATCTTTATAAAAAAGAAAAAAAAACACCTTAGCAGTGAGGGGTAGTGAGTCGGGGAGGAATCCAGCTCTGCCCAGCATGGGGCTCCACTGGGCATCAGGCCTGGGCCTTGGACTCATAGGAATAAGCAGACCTTTGGGGGTGACTGTGGTGGGGTGGGGGTGTTGGTGGAAAGAGCAGTTACAGCCAAGGATCCTATTTTTGAGCAGACAGCTATTTTGGGAGCCCCGCTGCCCCTCGAGGGCCTGTGAATTTTCCATGAAGTAATGGCTTGGGCCTCCCGCTGCCTGGGCCCGCCCTGCTGCTGGCCGATGCACTGGTGGAATAAGGCCCTATTCACCAGCTTGAGGTTCAGTGTACTAATTGTGTACACAAGTTTATCTGACTGGGGTGGGGAGGGGAAGGAACGCGGCTGCCTGGAAGCTCTTACAATAAGTGTATTCTGAGCAAGAAAAGGAAGGGCCTGAGCAGAACAATAGGCTCACTGTGCAGCCTGGTTCCCTCAGGGAGCAGCGGCTGCGAGCAGCGGAGGTCGGGGCCCATCACATTGGGGGCCAGGGCCTACTTGGGGTGGCCAGCAGGAGAGGTGGTGCCCCCAGGGACTCCCAAAGCCTGAAGAATCATAACAAGGGGCCAGACACCTCCCTCCGGCTAGAGAATCCAGATCCTTCAGGTGTTCCATCTGGGGCTGAGACAGGATGGGGAAAAGGCCTCATTCCATAAAGCTTTTCCCTGGCGGCTGGAAGGAGGTGAAGGTGGGGCACTAGGGACACTATTCCAGGCCTTGAGGCAGGCTGGGCCTTGGTGTGCTGCCGCCACCACTCTGGGCAGGCTGTGGTGGGAGGCAGGTGATGGGAGCGCCCTGGGCCCGCACGTACTTGAGCTCCTGAGCGATGGCCGCTATCTGCTCCACGCGGTCCTGGTGTGCAGCCAGGTCACTCTCGAAGGCCTCGTGCTTGCGGATGAGGGCTTTGATGTCCGACAGCGTGGCCGTCTCGTAGTCCCGGTGTTTCAGCATGGCTTCCTTCCCTGGGGTGGGGGCACAGAGGTGCTTAGACAACAGCATAGCAGCTGTGAGGCAGGAGTCTGGAGGGGCTGTCTAAGCAGAGGGAGAGAAAGAGACTGTGGACCCTACATCCTTCCACGCCAAGGACAGTAGCATGGAAACTTCTAGAACCTTCCTACCCACCAGGGATCTCTAAGCCCAACTGTAATCTGGATGGACCTGGATGGACACTTCAGGGTTGGTGAGCCTGAAAGAAATATTCCATCTCAACCCATGTGTCCAAACTTAGCATCTTTTGTTGGTAGAAAACCATATAAATAGGGCCCTGGTAGCACGGCTTGAAAAGCTAGCACCTGTTTCTGGAGGGCTTTGATCTGGAGAAGTGCCTGGGGTCAAAGCCCATGTCCCAGCAGGCTTGAGGAAGTGGAAGCATTGGCCAGGTTCTTCTAGGAGCCGGACCCTGCACCTGCACAGGTGGTGGTCCTCTCCCACGTCTAAGTGCCCCACTGTTCTAAACTGTCCTGTGTGCAGTGGGGTGGGCCCACTGTCAGGCCCTTTGAAGGAAAGGAGGCACACTGTTATTAGTCCTGGAGCCTGGCTAATTACACACGCCAGAACCAAAGCTCAAGGAAGCCCTGCAAGCAAGTAAAGGTCTTTAGGGAACTGCAGGGAAAATTCTGGCCTGGGAAGGTGGCTGGCACCCCAGCTCCTACATAGCCCTGCCTCAGGTACACCCCCTTGGGCTTCGCCGGGGTGGTAGTGGAGATCCCCTCAGCTCTATCCCAGCGCATCTGACAGCAGCCCGCCTGGTGCAGCCACCAGGGGCTCTCTGGGTCTGTGCATTCACCTGTAAAATGGGGCCAGCCTCAGCACCCGTGTCGCGTGGGACTATTCTAAAGTTTCAGTGAGGTGGTGTTCAAGCACAGCAGGCATGGAGCCAGGAGCAGCCTTACCCCAGCCTCTACTGGTCTCATCTGGCAGGCACCTACCAGCCACCCCCAAGGATTGGGCCTGGCATTGATGGGCAAGAAGTGGGCAGCCTAGGAGACTTTGGCTCACTGGCCCTGCTGCCCATCCCCGGGACAGAAGGCTGAGCCACAAGGCAGCCTTGCAATTCCCTTCTCCAACTGCTTCCTCCCAGGGGTGGGAACCAGAAACAGCAGGTGATGGCTCCCTCTGCCTCAGCAGAGTCCCAGCAAGGGTATGCTGAGATGATGTGGGCAGTGGACTATGGCAATGGCTGCCGGGGATCCAGGGCAAGGGGCAGCCAGAGCAGGGACAAGGGGTCATTGGGGGCTGGTCATATTGTCAGGAAATCAAGTCCCTCAGAAGCATCCGTGGTGACCCTCCCCCTGCAGGCTGTAGGGGATGGTAGGGGCATGGAGTGACAGTGGCCCACCCACCCCAGGGCAGAGGAGGCCACTGAGTCCCGACCCTGGGTGTGGAGAGCCTGTCTGTCCTGTTTCACATAACTGCTGCTTGAGAGGACAGAGGCTCTGGGTCTTGGGATTGAGTGGGCCGGCCTGCCTGGGGGCTCTGGCAGATGCCATGGGCAGAGCTAGGTGGATGCCCAGCCAGGCAGGGGTGGGGCAGAGATGTGTGGAGGCCACTGAACCAGTTGGGCCCTGGCCAAAGACTGAGCCAACTTCTAAATGCCTCAGGTGAAGGCCGCCCCAGAGCCCTTCCCACGGGAGGAGTGCTCAGTGGGGAAACCACACCCAGCCCCTCGGCATCAGGAGACCATCTGCAGGGTCTCACAGAGCCCTGGAGAGGGGCTGAAGAGCTGACAGGTGGGCAGAAAGACCCTCAGAAGAGATAGCCACAAGGCGACGCTCAGGCCTCCATGGATAAGGATGGCAGGAGCCACTTTGAGCTGTCTGTTGAATGAACGAGTGAATCTGTGAATGGATAGAGGCCACCCTCCCACACAAGGTGGCACCAGTGCCAACATGCTCTCCTCACACAGGTGCCTTTCTGCAAGGCAAGAGGGAAGCGTAGCACCTGGCCTGGCCAGGCCCTTCCTCCCTCACTGTCCATGCTTTCATCTGCCCTCTTTCCTAGCAGCAAAAGGTCTGGGCTACTCGGGCTGGCAGCTGCCGCGGGCACAACAGGCTGGGCTCATGTAAGGAGGGCACAAGCTGGGCTGTGGGCAGGGCTGTGGGATGTACAAAGCTGTACTCTCATGCAGGCTGGGGTAGGGAGGGGTGAGAAACTGCGCTGAAGAACTCGAGGAAGGGCTCATCTGGACAGAGTGGTGGCAGGAGGGCGAGCGAGAAAGCACTGGGAAGGAGGTGGCCAGAACGGGAGAGGAGTCCTATGGGTGGCCCCTGTGGCTCTCCCAGGCACTGGCAGCTTTCTGAATGCTTCCAGACCCCTGGGATCTGGAATCTCAACCTTGGCGTGACTCGAAGGAGGGCCAGGGACGTGATGGAATCCCACATCCGGAGCCAAGGGCCAGGCAGCTGCAGGGCTGCCGAAAACAGAAAGTGTTCAGAGGTTTAGGAGAGAAGCCTCCTGTAGGGGGAGCCAGGCCCTGGAAGGAGGCCCTGGGAAGGGATGGGAGGTGGCAGGAGCTCGCAGGTGGGCCATGGGGAAGGGTGGGCTGAGGGCGGTGGCTGTCTGTGGCTCCAGGTGGGAGAGGGGAGCTGACTCTGAACACAAGGTGCCAGGGATGGGAGAGGCCTGCCCCACATGCTCGCCCTGGATGGGGAAGACAGGCAGAGGGGACAGGTATAAGGTCACTTCCCTGAAGTGCTGGAGGGGGCTTGGCTGTGTTCCTGGATGACTGACAGGGGCCCACCTGTAAGTCCCTGTAAGTAATCTCTGAGGTCAGGGCAGATTGGGTAACAAAGAGGACCTGGCCCCAGAATGGTCCCTGGGGCTGGGGGAACCCCAAAGCAGCATTTCTTTGCTTTTTTTTTTGAGACAGGGTCTTGCTCTGTCACCCAGGCTGGAGTGCAACGGGACAATCACAGCACACTGTAGCCTCCACCTCCCTGGCTCAATTGATCCTATCACCTCAGCTTCCTGAATAGCTGGGATCACAGGTATGTACCCCATGCCTAATTTTTAAAATTATTTTTAAATTTTTTGTATAGACAGGGTCTTGCTATGTTGCCCAAGCTGGTCTCAAACTCCTGGGCTCAAGTGATCCTCCTGCCTTGGCCTGGCAAAGTGCTGGGATTATAGGTGTGAGCCACTGCACCTAGCTCTAAAGCAGCATTTCTGACACTTACGCTCCCAAGCAGCAAGAAAGGGTGCCCGAGAAACAGACGCAGTGTGGTGGAGGCTGTACGTGCACACTCACGCGTGCCTGAGACCGGAAGGGAGCGAGGGAGCGAGGCTGGGCCGTACCATCAGTCCAGGCCTCGTGGATGGAGGCCTTCTGCCGGAACTTCTCTGCCAGGTGGTCGAGCCGCTCCAGCCTGCGGATCTCATTCAGCAGCCACTCCTCGTAGCCCTTCTCAGCCTGCTCCAAGTGCTGCCAGCCGTTGTTGATGTCCTGGGGCGGGGCAGGGGCAGGCAGGGCTATCCCAGGGGAACAGGGGCACCCAGGGGGATGTCTCCAAGGGATGCTGATGGTAAGTTAGCAGAACTTGGCTGGGATCATGGCTGTGCCATGCTTTGCTATTATACCTGGATGCCTAAACAAGGCCCAGCACTAGACAGGTACAATCAATTCTGGATTAACAAACTCAATGGGTAAACAGGTGAGTGCATGAATGAATGGATGAATGCCACAGATGGGGCAGCGGCAACCACCCAGAGCACACTGCCCCTCTGCTGATGAAGAACCTGCAGCACACGGTGGTCCTATAGTCATGGCAGACCGGGGCTTCAAATTCATACAACTCCACACCCACGCAACCCATGGTATGGATTTGGGTATAAAACCTTCAGTGTAAAACACAGTGAGTGAGGGCCAAAGGGGAGCACAGTGCTGAGTGAGGCGTGCCTCTCCCCACCCCTGCATCCTAAAGGCCATGCCAAGTCCCACAGGACATCAACAACAGGAAAGAATGCACTGGCCAAGTGGCAAGCCCACAGGCAGTTCTAGAGCTGCCTCTGCCCCTCACAGCTACTCGTGGGTTCAGCAGAGCACCCCACCCCCGTTAATCCTGGCACTTACCGAGACCATCTTGCCCTCGGAGGGCATGAAGGCCGGCCGGTTGCTGAGGCGCAGCTTGGTCTGCAGCGTGTTGAAGTTGATCTCCAGCTGGCACTTCTCCTGCACCTTGGGTGGCTTGTGCACACGCCGGTAGTCTCGGAAGTCCTCCAGCTTCTGCTGCATCTCCTGGATGGTCTTTTGGGGCACACGGTCCTCCAGCCAGGGGATGGTGCGTCGGATCCACTCCAGGAGCTGTGGGCCCGCAGAAGCCAGGGTGGCCTTTGTGGGGGGCCCTCAGAGTGCTGACAGGCTGCCCCCCAGCTTATGGGCACATGGGATCTGGATCTTTGAGGACCTCACCTTAGGGGCTGCCCCTGCTCCCCAGCCCAACTTCTCCACGATTCCTGCTGGAATGCCCCACCCGGAATTCTGGGAACGTGAGTCCCTCCCCGTCCCTACACCACTGTACTCTTCCCTTGTTTCTCCCTGTTCATGCCTCAGGTCCTCGCTTTGTCATCCAGGCTACAGTGCAGCGGCAGCTTCAAGCCCCCCGGCTCAAGCCATCCTTCCACTTCAGCCTCCCATGTATTTGGGATACAGATGCCTGCCTCCAAGTCTGGCTGACTTTCACTTTTAAGTTTTTATAGAGAAGTGGGGTCTCTGTATACTACCCAGGCTGGTCTTGAACTCCTAGCCTCAAGCAATCCCACTTTAGCCTCCCAAAGTGGTGGGATGACAGGGGTTAGCCACCATGCCTGGCCTATGCCTTTGCTCTTAGTCTTTTTCCTCAGGTCTAGAGGGGAGACCTCCACTCCCATGCCCCCTCAAAAGAGGTCCCCTTCTGTGCTGTTCCATGCCCTGTTGCCGCTGTCTTCACTGAGCTCCGAGCTGTCTAAGTGCCTCGAGGGCAAGGCTGACAGGCGTGCTGGGCTCAGTCTGGCTAGGCCAGTGTGTGCACTGGGGCTGGGACATAAATTAGAAAATAAAATTGAAAAAGAAATGAACACGTACTTTTAGGAGCTACTTAGATCTTCGATGGAGTAAGGAAGGGTAACAAACAATTGGACATTCTAAAACAATTCTAGGCTGGATGTGGTGGCTCACACCTGTAATCCCAGCAATTCGGGAGGCTGAGGCGAGCAGATCACCTGAGGTCAGGAGTTCCAGATCAGCCTGACCAACATGGTGAAATCCCCTCTCAACTAAAAAGTTACAAAAATTAGCCAGGCCTGATGGTGTGTGCTTGTAATCCCTGCTACCCAGGAGGCTAAGGCAGGAAAACTACTTGAACCGGGAGGCAGAGGCTTCAGTGCGCAAAGATCACACCACTGCACTCCAGCCTGGGCAACAAGAGTGAAACTCCATCTCAAAAAAATAAAATAATAAAACAATTCTAGAATAATAAAATCAGCTATGTGCCAGCACAGAGAAACTCAGAGAAGTGGCTCCCAAATGCCAACTTCTGGTAAAGTGAGAAATCCAAGGACAGAAATATCCCTGTGTGCATACATCGTGAGGCGTGTTGCCAGGTGCCCTTTCTTGGCAACGGCTGGGGTTCCAAGAATAACCTTTTTACCTTATCTTGGTGTTAGAAGTGCTGGTGGTAACAGATGGTGGTGTTTCTTTTTATTTTATTTTATTTATTTATTTTTTTAAAGACGGGGTTTCAGCATGTGGGTCAGGCTGGTCTTGAACTCCTGACCTCAGGTGATCCGCCCGCCTTGGCCTCCAAAGTGCTTGGATTACAGGCGTGAGCCACCGTGCCCAGCCGGTGTTTCTTTTTAAAACATCGATAACTTGGCAAAATGAAAACCTGGCCACATTAGGTTAAACATCAAATAGTTTTTCAAATTTTCCTGGTCCATGAGATTACAAAATCCGGGAACCACTGGTTCTAGAAGAGCAGGCAAACCACTGCTCTTTGGGAACTTAAATCACTTTTATTTTATTGAGATGTAGTTTATTTTATTGAGACAAAGTCCTGCTCTGTCATCCAGGCTGGAGTGCAGTGGCACAATCTCAGCTCACTGAAACCTCTGCCTCCCAGATTCAAGTGATTCTCCTGCCTCAGCCTCTCAAGTATCTGGGACTACAGGCATATGTCACCACGCCTGGCTAAGTTTTGTATTTTTGGTAGAGATGGGGTTTCACCATGTTGGCCAGGCTGGTCTCAAACTTCTGACCTCAAGTGATCTGCCATCTTTGGCTTCCCAAAGTACTGGATTACATGCATGAGCCACCGCGCCTGGCCTAATTTTATTTTTTAAATACGGAGATTTCAAAAATGAAGAGCCTCCAGAAGAAATGTGCTAACCACCCTTATTGCCAACTGAAGCATTAGGTTTGAGCTCTGGAGCAGGACTGTGTAGGTCTGAAGCCCAGCTCTCTGTCTCACCAGCCCCGTAACAGCAGGCCTGACCCTCTCTGGGCCTCAGTTTTCTCACTTGGAAAGGAGATAATCTGAGTTCCCGTCTTGCTGGGCTGCTCATGAAGTGCCTGCACAGGGCCTACTATCCTCCTAGTTCCCAGGCCCCTCTCCATCCTTCTGAATCGCTCTCTCCAGGGCCAGGGCACAGGAACAGGGGCTTTCAGAAAGTTCTCCGGGTGATTCTAAAGCACTGAGGTGCCCAGGAAACACTGTCCCTGAGCATCTCTGTAGGAACTCAAGCCCAGGGGCTGTGTGGTAAGGTAGCTACTGATCTGAACCTTCACCTTGTGGAACCAAATGGAGAGATCACACACTGGCTGACTCACACCCGATGGTCTGTCACTGCGAGGCCTTTTCTGGGTCACCTCACTGCCAGACCTGCTTTCCCACTACAGGAGTCACAGTAACCTCTGGCTGAAGGTAACAAAGTGGCCCTGATTTTCACTGGGGGGACACTCACATCGCTGGCCAGCTTCTCATAGTCCTCCATCAGGTGCTCATTCTCCTGGTTGACCGCCAGCACCTTGCAGATCCGGTTGGCAGCAGTTTCAGCCTAGAGGGGAGCGCACAGTCAGGGCTGCCTGGGGCTGGCCACCCTCCCTCCTGACAGTCATGTCCTTTGAAAGCAGCTGGTCCATGGCCCACAGAATTCCCCACAGAGGAGAAGGAGAGGAAGCTCAGCTCCAGCAAGATGGTGCCCTGTCCCAACAGGCCTTGTTGGCATCCTCACTGCCAACTGCAAAATGCCCCTGTCCAGAGAGCCCAGACCCGGCAGGCACCGAGGGTTGGGGAGCCCTCCCTCTGCTGCTCACAAGCCCCCTAGTGCCCCACACAGAGAAGGGTGAGGCTGGGCAGGTCAGCTGCATTGGACCTAGGACTGCAGCAGTCTCTCCCGGTGGGAAGGTGAACAGATGGGAGGCTGAGAGATGGAGAGCTGGGGGCAGCGGAGCAGGAGCGACCAGACCCCGGAGGAGCCTGGTGGTCCATACCCAGGAGCACACTCAGGCCTGTCCTCTCTGCTGCCCTTGGAGGCAGTGTTAACAGGTGCTCCAGGGGGCAGAAGTCACCATCTGGGGGGCAGAAGAGTGCTGGGGCTTTGGAGGGCAGAAGTGGTGGACACAGTCCCTGGGCCTGAACTACAAGAGAACGTTGTGCCCTGTCCTGCTGGGGAGCAGTGAACAGTGTTGGGGCGGGGACACACACAGGGAGAGGTGAGACCAGGTACCTTTCAGGAAGCACAGAAAGGGTCCAAGAAGAGGAGTTGAAACGGCAACAGAACAGGAACAGAAAGAGTGAGGAGGGTCTACAGAGTCATGGGGAAGGAAAACGGAGAGGCTTGGCCGATGGCTCGGAGCCAGCGCTGCAGGCAGCGAAGCCCAGCCTCTCCCCTCCACATGAGGCACCTAGAGACAGGCAAGGAGGTGGGGGGCAGCCGGGGCTCATGTGAGCACACACACGCACGTGCACGTGCACACCCTGTGCCATGCTGCAGGACACACACCCAGGGCCCCAGGCAGTACTCCTTGGAGATGAGGCCCAGGAGGTTCCTCGGCTAATGAACATGGGACCCAGAGCAGTGTGGGAAACACAGCCAGGGCTGCAGCTTGTGGGGGTCACAGAGGTAAGTCCCTGACTCCTAACTTGGCAGAGACAACTGGCACCCAAAACTCAAGTCCACTCTGTGAGCATGGGGCTGCTGTGGGGGCAGGGAAATCATGTTTCACCACTGAGTTCCCGCAACCAGCTCAGGGCTGGGGTGCTGGCGGTGCTCAGGGTTGCTGAATGAATGAGTGAATAAAGGAATGAGGTGGGAATGCTTCAGCGACTAGAAATAAATGATCAGGACAGAATGGACACGCCAGCACCAGGCCTGGGGTTCACTCTGCGTTTACAAAGCACGAACCTCAGAGAGTACTCGTGCAAGAGCTTGGACTGGGTCTTTGGGGAAACGACCCCACAGGAGCAGAGCATGACGAGGCTGTCCCGAGGAGCACACAGGCTCAGGTACCCAGCACTTTCCTTCCTGACTGGCCAGCACCCTGCAGCCAAGCCTCTGCTTCCCCTTCAGCAGAGGGGCCTGGTGCCTTAGCACCCTCCCATGCTCTGACCTGGGGTCGCCTGCCAGTCCCTGCTCCCCCAAATCCCTCAGAGCTTACAGACTGGAGTTCAGCCATAAGCACCTGGGAGCAGTGCGGATAGAAGAAAAAGCAATCTGGTGAGGCCGTATGGTGGGCGGGGAGCTGGCTTGGGGCCCACAGGGGTGAGTCCAACGGCAAACGTGCGGTTAGTTGCGGTCTGTGGTGAGGAATCGTCCATTGCAGCCCATCCCTGCCCACCTTCCTGCAGGGGTGTGGGTCAGGGGTCTTCCCTCCACCCTCCTGGCCAGTGCCCTCCAGCAGAACACTCCAAACATAAGCTCCAATCACATGCTTATGTGAGGTGAAGAGGCAATGAAATGTGCCTTTCTGGCCCGAAGCTGAGAAGAACCACCCTCCCCACGACTGTGACTCCCCAGCTGCCTACAGGGCACCTGTCGTGCCAGGCACTGTGCTAAGCCCTTCACCTGCAGGAGCTCGATTCACCCCAAAACAATCCTGAGACCGAACTATAGCAATGCCCATTTCACAGATGGGGAAGCTGAGGTCAAGTGACCTACCCAACATCACAGTATCACGAGGTGGTAGAGTGGGGCCAGGCCAGACTAACGGTGGGAGGCTCAAAGCAGGGGGTCCACAGAAGGTATGGCCCCCACCCTCTAGCTTTAGGAACAGCTCTCTGCTTCCCTAAACTTCAATTCCTCCTCTCTCAAACGAGGCTAACTGTGCCTAGCTCTCCTGGGGGTATGCACAGGGACCCTCTGGAAGCCTGTACATGTGAAGGCCTTAGAGAGTGCCTAGCATGTAGTACACACTCAATAAACAAGAACCAATTCTGCCACCTCCTCTGCACCTGTGCCAATGGCTGACACCAAAGCAGGCATTGGGAGTGCTGCCTGAGATACTTCAGAGACCACAAGGCAAGCAGAGGGAGAAGTGCCCAGGCCTCTGTGTGGATGGTGAGGGCCCAGCAGGAGCTGCAGGGCAGCATGAGGTCAGCCGGACCCAGGAGGGTGGCTGCTGGCACACACACTCTGCAGGCTTTGCCTGGCCTCTGGAGGGCCAGAACCGTGAGTGCAGTTCAGGCTGCACACGCTGAGCCTTTCCTGGCAGGAAGGAGCTGTAGAACTGGGGTAAAGCCCAGCGTTCTCCATGAAAGGGCTCGGCAGAGGCAGGCAGGCAGCCCTGGTACAGATGATGGACAGAGTGAGCGGGAATGCCGGGCAGTCAAATACCAGCTCTGCCATTGACTATCATGCAGGGCTTCAGTTTCCCCACCCGAGATCCTGGGATGCCACCACCCACCTCCCAGGGTGGGCTGTGTTCAAACAGAGAAGGTCTGTGGCTCCTCAGCACAGGCCCAGCACCGGCCAGGCAGGAAACCTGCCCCAGGGGACCATTCCAAGTCGGAACCTAGCAGGGTCAGTCTGCCTGGTGCGGCAGCCCGTGACCTGGCCAGGGTTCCAACCACAGATGGCCATGGTGGTAAAGGCAGGTCTGTAGCCCCAGCAGCGAGCTGTGCCCGGCCCAGCTCACCTTCTGAGCCCCCGAGAAAGCGTGGTAGAAGCAGGACACGTAAGTCATGATAGCCTTCTCATCTGGCCTCAGAGTGCCCACAATATCTGCACAGAGAGAGAGAGAAAGAGAGAGAAAGGCAGGAGAGAGTGAAAGATGCAGGGAGGACGGCCGGGCCAGCCCGAGGCTCATGCGGGAGGAAGAGCGCTTGCTCTGGACTGGAAGCCAGCCCCCGGGCCTGCGTGGGCATGCCTTGCGGGGTTTTGCTGAGTCTGAACGGGGCATGTTCCTTTTCTAACCAGGCCTGGGCTGGATACGCACTAGCTTCGGGCCCTATAAAGGCAGCTTTGTTTTGGGCTGGAGGAGTCAGTTGCTAAATGATCTTTCTGAAAATGTGAGTGAGCACCTACCATCATGGAGTAAGACCCTAAAGGGCTCCCGTGGCCTCAGAGTGAAACATGGATTTCTTATCCCCGCAACACAAAGGTCTTGTGGGGCCTGACCCATCACTGCCTGTCACTCACTCCTCCTTAGCCAGTCCTTGAATAAGCCAAGCTTCTTCCTGTCTCAGGGCCTTCGCTGTGCTTTGTCCTCTGCCTGAACACTCATGTCCCAGGCTGCATTTAGCAGCTCCTGCTGCAAATGCCGGCTCACGTCACCCCTCCACGTTGACAGTGCCAGCTGAAGGTCACCCCAGCCATCTCTGTTCCCCCATCTGGCCCCATGTTCTCTATTCCACTCCTATGACAGGCCTGCTGTGTGTCTCTCCCACTAGCATGGAAGCGCCCTGACTGTGGGGACCTTGCCAAACCCGGTCACCAGGGTATCCTCAGTGCCTGGAAAAGAGCCTGGCACAGACAAGGTACCCGATAGGTGTGTGAGCTAAGGCTGAGGAGGCAGCTACGCCAGGGAATGGGGGGTGGCTTCCAATCGGAGAGAGGCCACTGCTGTCTGCAAGAGAAATGAGGTGAGCACGGGAGGTGAGAGGCAGCGGCGGCATTGCGCGGTGGCGGCGAGGAGGGCCTGCCTGGCCCTGCCCGGTACCTTCTGCGCTCCCGAAAACGCATGGTAGAAGCTGGACACATAGGTCATTATGGCCTTCTCGTCGGGCCGGGCCGTGTTCACGATGTCTGCAAGTGAACAACAAGGGTTAAACTGCCCGAGTGGGACGGGGGGTGGAGGCGTCACTCACTGGAATCCAAGAGCTCCCAAGGCCACGGCCTTGGGGAGAAGGACCCGCAGAGACTCATGACTCGGGTGGGCTCAGCCACACCCTCAGCCCCTCCCTTCCCCATGGCTCTGGAAAGGCCAAGGCTGTGGGAAGCAGATTAAAATGAGGCCACTTCCTCTCTCTGAGAATGGCCTCAGGAGCAGCAGGACAGTCAACTCCACAGGCCTCCAGGGGCCAGAAACACAGGTTCCAGCCAGAGCAGTGCATGGCTGGGAAACGGAGCAAAGCCGGAAAAGGAAAAAACAAAACACTCCACTCTGGCGGGCTCCATACTCCATGCCTGCTGTAGGTAGGGAGAGAGAGGCCAGGGTTGCTCAAAGGAAGCTTGAAGCGTCCCCTCAGCCACCTTGCCCTTCCCAGCCTTGCAGAGCTGCAACCCCAGGAGAGCTGATCCTTCAGCCACCCGCCCCCAACCCTTCTCCATCCCTGAAGGCCTCTGGCCCGCCCAGGCTGCCCTTGCTCAGTGCCACACGGCTGTCCCCAGTTCACCTGGATTCATTCAGTCCTTCTCGCTGGCTCTCCCAGCTCCCTGAGGTGACCCAAAGCTCTGATGTGCCTATAGGGCCTCGCCTAGGGCTGGCCCTGAACAGACAGGGCCACCAGGAAGCACAGTGCTGGCTGAAGAGATGACTTACCCTCTGCATCCAGCATTTTGGGGATATCGAGGTATTTCTCGGCCACTTCGAAGGCATTGTTCAGGTTGGTGACAGGGTCGTCCTGGAAGGAGGCAAGTGGGGGCAGCAAGAAGAACTCCATCAGGGCAGGGCCCAGGAGTAGAAGGGAGGCAGGGCTGGCTCAGAGTGAGGGACCTGGCTGGGCTAGGGCTTGGGGTTTCTTCAGGCAGTTCTCCACCACGTGTGCTGTGTGAGCGGAAGGGCACCGCCTGGATAAATTCAATTCCTACTCACAGGGGTGCCTTGTGAAATCTCTGTGGGGCAAACCATGGGCTTTTTTCTAAAAAAAAAAAAAAAAACCAAACCAACCAACCAGATGTACTCTTTTCATACAATTTCCAGTCACATACCGACCCTAGATTAAGCCCCCTGCCCTGAAACTCGGGTTTTCACATTGACCGGAAGTTGTGGGCCAGGCCTCAGAGAGCACTGGGGACCAGGTAGGGGGAGCAAACCCAGAGATCCAAGGTCCCAGCCACGCTTAAGTATCCCCCAGTCCTCTCATGGGCCCCCTATTGCTTACAGGACTAAAGCCCACTGTACCCCAACTCTCCCTGGCCAGGGCCCAGCTCCCTTGCTCGCTGTGGCTGGAATGGGCTAGGTCTGGTCTGGTGCCTCCCCAGGGAAGCCCTCCTCTGGCTCTAAGTTGCCTCTTCTTCCGGGGCCCTTCCTGGCTCCTGATGGCTGAGGGTTTGCCAGCCTTCTCTGCAACACTGCTCTGACCCCATGCCCTATCACCCCATTTGACCTGAGCGTATGTACACAGCCTGGTGTGGGGCTTTGCTTGGACACAGTTTTTGTCCTGCCTTCCCCATGAGGCTGGCAGCTTCTGGTGGGCAGGGCCTGAGTCCATACAGGCTTTGTTCAGGCAAATGAGAACAGGACCCTGCACGGGCAACATGGGTTGGCAGTGATGGTTTGGAATTCCTTGCCCTCTTCCCCTTTGGGCAGAGAAGTTTCTAGAATCTAGAAGGTTGAGGAAGGGGAGTTATAAAGCATTGCTGGCCAGGTCCTTTAAATAACCCTGGGTTGGTTGCAATGCCATGGAGGGAGACTGGATAGTCCCTGAGGGGAATAAGGGAGGTGAGAGTCAGCCACCAAGCCAGGGGTTTGGGGTTTGGCGGAGCCTGCACAAGGCTCTTCTAGCCCACCCATCTGCATATAGAACCCAGATCTGGAGGCTGGCAATGGACGGGTGTGGGGATGGTGACCCAGTGTTAGGGGGTCAGATAGGGCACCTGTAGGCCGTCAAGGGGAGCAAGAGACACCCACCTTCCTCAGCTTGTCATACTCAATCAGCTCTGGTCTGTGCCGGTGGATCAGAGCGTTGAAGGCAAGACCATCCTTCCAGCTGGGGAAGGAAAGGCAAAGGTTATAGGAGGCCCTGCTCACTGTCACAGGAGGGCCGTATGGCCCTACGCACTCATAGCAGTGACTAATTCCCATTTCCTGAGGTCTGGCCTGTGCCAGGCACTACACAGAGACAGTGTGGCAGAGACGCTGCGAGCATGACCTCTGGGGCCAGGCAGTCTATGATCAAATCCTGACTCTTCCACCTACTGACAGTGTGACCTCAGGTAAGCCACGTTATCTTGGTTTCCATATCTGTACGATGGGGATAGTAACATACCTGCTACAAAGAGTTGTTGTATGGATTAAATGAGTAAATGTTTGGATCAGGGCCTGACTCATCACAGCTGCTTTATAACTGCAGCACCTTCCATGGGAGGCCACCCTGAACAGGACAGACCGCTTTTGGGGGAGGCAGCCACTGCAGGAGGCCAGTGCCTCTGCTGCGTGGCCTCCACACCCTGGCTGACCTGACTCGCAGGAAGGCCAGTCTGTGGGCTGGCTAAACGCCAGGCCGTCGCTTGGCATGCAGATCTATGGAGGAAAGGGACCCTCCCCAAGGCCACAAGTTGGTCAGTTATAAACCTGATGGGTTACATTCTCCTCCCTGAGACCTTCTAAGGGTTGGTTCCCTCTGGGGTCAAGCTCGTGGGACCTCCTCTGCAAGGCCACCCAGGGAACTTTCCTCATCCGACTCCTCTGTCTTTGTACAGCACTTCTCACTGAAGTTATGCTGCAGGATTCCTGGCAGTGGTGTTCATGGCTGGTCCCTGAACTGTGGTGTAAACCTTTCACAAATGGGGCTTTGTTTGGGTGCCACTGTATCTCCACTTGCGGCAGGTAGCGGGCATGCCAGATATTTACTAGTTGAAGAAACAGAGTGGAAAATATAGAAAGATTCAGCCAGTTAGTGGCAGGAAAAGGAAGACAACACATGGAGAAGAGTGACCAAAGGAGGGACCACATGCAATCAGGTCGAGCATGACGGGAAAGGCTCTCTGCACCCAACAAAGGTCCCGGAGAGCCTGACGCCGCTGCAAATCCCATGAGGCCCTGCTCTTCATTCCTAGGCAGGTCCACCCAGGAGACTGTGGAGCCACAGGGCAAACCGGATCTGACCTCAGGGCTGCCCTTAGAACTGGTACTCCCAACCACTGGGCAGACCCGCCTCTTGCCACACCCTGGACCTCATGTGGCACTGCCCATGCTCGCCTCAGCTAGGGTGATGGTGGACATGTCTCATCTCCCCCTCACCCTGAGGGAAGCAGCATGGCGGAGCTGAGGCTTGTTCATCTTAGCAGCCACAGAGTACATTTTCCCCCAACACTAAATTAACTAGCAACTCTAAAAACAATTCATTTTCGAGCTGTCGAAATAAAGGAATAGGCCAGACACAGGCAGTGGCTCACATCTGTAATCCCAGCACTTTGGGAGGCTGGGGCAGGAGAACTGCTTGAGCTCAGGAGTTCAAATCCAGCCTGGGCAAATACGGAGATCCTGTTCCTACTGAAAATAAAAGAAAAATTAGCCAAATGTGGCTGTGTGTGCCTGCAGTCCCAGCTACTTGGGAGGCTGAGGCAGGAGGATGACTTGAGCCTACGCTAAGGCAGCAGTGAGGAGTGATCACATTACCGCACTCCAGCCTGAGTAACAGCACAAGACCCTGTCTTGGCTGGGCGCGGTGGCTCATGCCTATAATCCCAGTACTTTGGGAGGCCAAGGTGGGCGGATCATGAGGTCAGGAGTTCAAGACCAGCCTGGCCAACATGGTGAGACCCTGTCTCTACTAAAAATACAAAAATTAGCTGGGCATGGTGGCACGTGCTTATAATCCCAGCTACTTGGGGGGCTGAGGCAGGAGAATTGCTTGAACCGGGACCCAGGAGGCAGAGGCTGCGGTGAGCTGAGATCGCACTACTACACTCCAGCCTGAGTGACAAGAGTGAAACTCCATCTCAAAAACCTGTCTCAAAAATAAGCCGGGCGCGGTGGCTCAAGCCTGTAATCCCAGCACTTTGGGAGGCCGAGGCGGGTGGATCACAAGGTCAAGAGATCGAGACCATCCTGGTCAACATGGTGAAACCCCGTCTCTACTAAAGCTACAAAAAATTAGCTGGGCATGGTGGTGTGTGCCTGTAATCCCAGCTACTCAGGAGGCTGAGGCAGGAGAATTGCTTGAACCCAGGAGGCGGAGGTTGCGGAGAGCCGAGATCGCGCCATTGCACTCCAGCCTGGGTAACAAGAGCGAAACTCCGTCTCAAAAAATAAATAAATAAATAAATAAAAATAAAATAAAATAAAATAAAATAAAATGAAGAGCTTTATTGTTGCTTCTGAAAGTCAGCTTGCCTGGGGAGGATGAAGATTCTATAAGGCCAGCGAGAGGGCTGATCTTACTGCCTTCAGCCTGGATGGCTGGGAAACTGTCTAAACTGTCTCCTCTTCCTCAGAGAGGACCAGGTGACCTTTCCATGGGCTTGTAGGGCTCGTGGCAGGGGAGGGGCTGGCTGAGGGCTGGCATCTCACAGACCACAACAAAAACACACGAAACAGAGTAGGTGGGAGGAAGGATCTCAGGTTCCAGAGGAACTGAGAGGATGAGCACAGCTGGCGCTTACCTGATGTGGAAGTTCTGCACATTGACGTTCTTATATGGGGCTGTCTTTCTCTGGCACCAGAGAAGGAGCCCTTCCTTGGCCGAAGTCTCTGCAAAACACACAAGGACAGTGAGCACTGGCTCAAAAATAAACCCTCAGAACTCAGCCCAAGTTGGATCGGACTTTCAGCCGCAGGCCTGGGGGCCAAACAAAATCCAAGGAGAGAGGACATCAGTCCTAACATAGCAGCAGTGATATCAGTGGGACAGCCACTCCCATTCGGATGCGGACAAATGATGCCAGGCCTAACTGCAAGGACATATAACCCAGCCTAATCCTCATGGCCCTGAGGAAAGTCGCTTGACCAGGGCTGCCTCAGGAAGTGGTGGCATCAGGGCCTGAATCTGTGCCGTGTGCCCAACCACCAAGCCTGTGCCTCTCACTACCAGAACACACTGCCAGACAAGCCCTTGATACCGGCCTTGGCCTCTTTTGAACAAGCTGTGGAGAGGCCTATGTGGCCCTTCTGTTCTCCATGGACAGCTTGGCTGTCCTCACAGATCAGGAGCCCTGTGAGGGCAGAAAGCACATCTCTCCCAGTCATCACTGCGACCTGGCACCCAGGAACCCCTGCATGCTGACCCAGGTGGCTCTGCCCATCCTGTGTGCACACAGATGCTTGCAGGGAAGCGAAGTTGTCCATTCCTGGATGTCCTGAGCTCCTACTCAGTCCATGGGGCCAAGGTTCAAGGACGGGATGTCAAGCAGATAATGAACCAGGCCCAGGCCCAACTCTATCACTAGTCTGCTCTGGGATTTGGGTTCCTGGACTGTAAAATGGGCCCACCATACTTGGCCACCTCAAGAGAGTGGGATGAAGGTCCACTGAGATGAGGCTGCGAGAGCAAAGGCACTCGGAGGGCATCGGAGCCAAGGGGCGAGTGGCTGGGAGGGGCCTCCCTTCACCTGCCACCCACTGACTACTCCTTCAAGGGCCAGGCCCTGTGAGTGACCCCAAAGAGGCCTGAAACATGAAGACCACACTTCAACTCTCCTCTAACCCGCCCTGACTCAGGTGGGAAGGGGGGCAGTGCAGGTGGCTCTCACCTTCCACGGAGATGTCCTGGATGGCGAACCTAAGGATGATGGTCCAGATCATTCCCAGGGTCATCTTTGCATTGCCGTCCACAATCTCTGCACACAGGGAAGAGGGCAGAGGGCAGAAGGTTGTTAAAACCAGAGTGAGGCTCCTCCACTCAACCTGAAGGTGGCCTTCCAGCCCCATCTAGAGAACGGCTCTGAACCATCCCCCAGCTGCATCTCCCCTGGGAGAAAATCCACGGAACAGTCTCTGGGCTGCACAGTTCCGCAGCCTCCTGCTGCTGAGTGCCTGCAGGCTTCTGGCCATGAGTGTCCCTTGCCCCGCAGCCAGCTCCTTCCCCTGACCCTGCTCAAAAAACTGCTCCTCTGAGAGGCTGGTCCTAGGCACGTGGCCTCCGTTCACACTTCTCTCAACTCAGTGCTCTGTGCATTCTGCCTTCATCTGCATACCTCCTAACTACAGGGGAGCGCCCCAGGCTTCTGCTCTCAAGGCAAAGGTGGTCTTTTTCATCTCCTGGTCAGCAAATGTGCACTACATTATTTTTATTGTGAATCTATCCACTTCCTTCCAATCCCACTGCCAATACCCTTGTCCAAGCCACTGTCATCTCCAGAGCTCAATACGGCTGCCTCCTATATACCACAGCAGCCAGCATGGTCAGCTTTCCTCTTTTGAGACAGGGTCTGGCTGGCTGGAATGCAGTGGTGTAGTCATAGCTCACTGCAGCCTCCACTGCCTGGACTCAAGCGATCCTCTTGCCTCAGTCTCCCTGTAGCTGGGACTACAGATGGCATGCCACAATGCCTGGCTAGTTTTTAAACATTTTTTAGGGGCTGGGTCTTGCTATGTTGCCCAGGCTGGTCTCAATCTCCTGTTCAAGTGATCTTCCCGCTTTGGCATCCCCAAGTACTGAGATTTGCAGGCATGAGCCACTGTGCCTGGCACGCAGGGAAAGGGCTTGTCTTAAAGGCCCAGGCCCTGCCATCCTCCCAAAATTCTCTAGCTGCATCCTCTGGGCAAGCCAGGCTCTTTCTTGCTTTGAGAAGCTTATACCTTCTGTCCACTCACAAAGCACACCCCCAGCCTGCAACCCCCAACTGGCTGATCCTTCTCATCGTGCAAGCCTCTGCTTGTGTCACCTCTCACGGTGGCTTCCCTGACAGCCCGTCCCAAGGAGATCCCCCACCTGTCACCCATTCCTCTCTCCCTGGCCCCTGTGCTGTCCCCCAGGCATTACCACGTGAAATCATATGTTGGTTGGACTGTTTACTTGTTCACTGCCTGCATTCATGAGGGTGGGACTGCTCTGACCACCACTGGATCCAGTGCCTGGAAGGCCAGTAAGGAACAAGCGCAGCTGCTGTGTTGTTAGGAAGGGGAGAGCAGGGGCCCGAGGCCAGGTGGCCAGGTGGCCAGGTGCACGCTTTCTGAACCAACCTAAAAACAAACATTTGCAGCTGAGCGTGGTGGCTTAATCCCAGCACTTGGGAGGCTGAGGCAGGCAGATCACTTGAGGTCAGGAGTTCGAGATCAGCCTGGACAAGATGGTGAAACCCCATCTCTATTAAAAATACAAAAATTAGCTGGGCATGGTGGCAGGAGACAGGAGAACTGCTTGAGGCCAGGTGGCAGAGGTTGCAGTGAGCCGAGATAGTGCCATTGCACTCCAGCCTAGGCGACAAGAACGAGACTCAATCTCAAGAAAAAAAAAAGGAATTTTGCTGAAACTTCTCAAAAGAAGAGCTTGGACCATGCCTTCCTCAGCCTAAACAACTTAGAGAAAAACTATCTCTGCAAGGCCTAGGGCAGCTGTGTGTCTGCGGCTGGGTGAGAGAAGGGAGTATTTCCTCCCAGAGTCCCCCAGCCAGGCGTGCCTAGGGCAGTCGTTTCCGCTTTGTCAATACGCCAGATGCAAGGGGCATGGTGACATGGCTTCCGAAGAAGACAGAGGGGCTCCACTGCTGCAGCCACTCTCGGCGAGGGGCTGGGCAGAGGGGTGAGTTCCAAAGCTAACTGCAGAGCTAAAGGCCGAGGACACCACAGGAGACCCTGCTCACCGACCTCTGAGCAGAACACTCCAGGGCAGGCTTGCTTGGAAGAGGTGGAGAGGTCATAGAGAAGATGGGGACCACCTTCCCTGGGGACACACCCAGAGGAAGTGGGGGGCTCCATGAGCTACAGCTGAGAAGCTCCCACAGCAGGGTCACAGCTTTTGGGTTTTGGGAGGAGGAAATATGCTCATTCTGTTGCCTGGAGACAGGGGAGGGACCCAGTGTCCACCCTGTCCTACAGTTCAGAGCCCCAAACCCAGAAACTGAGCAGCTCCACCTGCCCCTTAGTGCAGCAAGGCAGCTCAAGCCTCAAGGAATCTATGCTATGCACCTCCCGAGGGCTGATCCTGCAGAGCCAGGCGAGGCTGCAGCTCCCCAGCCCAGTGGGTACAGGTGCAGCTGGTCACGGAGGGCTTATGGAGTTCCGGTGAGGCGAAGAGGGCCGTGTTTCTCATGACACATCCACCAGCTGCTTCTCTGACGTGCAGCTGTGCCTCTGGCCCCTCTCATCACCCCCATAGGGAGGCCATGCTCCTGCAACTGCCCGACTGTGAGGAAGGACAGGGGGACAGGGTGGGACAGGGTTCTCAGGTACTCTGGGACCCAGGAGCGCCTCCATTTGTTCCAAGGCCCCATGGTGGCAGAGATTGGGAATGAACCAATTTGGGCACGAAAAGAACAGTTTTAGACCAAGTTTTTCTCCAAATGAAAACTGATGACTGCCATGGGTCTCTCCTCTTAAACCCTTCTGTATTTAAAGACTAGCATTTGAGCAAAATAAATGCAGCTGTGAGAAGCAGAAGGCTGGAGCAGAGCCCGGAGGAAAGATCCATGCAAGGACAGAAAATCTCAGGGCCTGACTGAATTTTTGGGTTGTGATTTTTTTTAAACAAACACCAACCACCTCGACTGTGGCATGCAAGGCTTGGCACCCCTCCTTGCAGAGGTCCTGGGCTGGGGCAGAGCCTTGGAACTCAGTATACACATTCTGGCCCGGAATCTTGGCCAAACTCTCAGGCCCCTGTCATTAATGGCAATTAGTTTTCTTTGTTTTTCTAAAAACTGGGACAACATGGATGTCAGGGTGAAGAAACCCTGCTCTGACTAATGAGCGGAACTGCGGTCCCAGACTGCTGGGGAGTTTCTGGGCTCCATCAGGCCTTGCCTGTCTCTAAAAGCACCTGGGAGCTCAGGCCAGGCGTCTTGCTGAGAGTCCTCTCCACTGCTCTAGTGAGGGCCTGCAGGCGGTGAATTGCGGTCCTGGTTATCTACATGGGGCCCAGGAGGATCCTCAGGTGGTCAGAGGCCAAACTCTCCAAGCCTGTGCATGCAGGGCAAAGTCTGAGTACTGACCTTTGGCCATGCACTCCCTGCCCCAATGCCTGACACAGAGAAGGGGACTCCCTTCTCTGATTCCAGGCAGGGAATAATGGCAAAGGTGTTTCTGGTACAGAGAGAGGCCATGGCACGAATTTGTCACTGTCTGCTAAGCCTGGCCCAAGGAGAACCAGTGAGGGTGACCTGAGTCCGAGTCAAAACCATTCCTCCCCCCGCAGAAGCCACCGCCCCTCGTGGTTGGATGGGTTACACTTTCCAGATTTGGACTGCGCCCACTGGATTTTTCTGAGGGGTTGGGGGAGCTTATTGGCCCAGCATCGTATCATCAAGAGCAGTCGCTGTGATCACTGCTGAGTATGTACTGGGGCTTTGAGTGCCCCAAGTGCCCTGCCACCAACAAAACTTCTCTTCAGAATGCAGATGTCTTGCCTCAGAGCCTGAAGGTCAGAAGCTGAGCAGGACCCTGGCTGCCCCATCTCCAGCTCACCTTCCGCCCCGATGGAGACCAGCTTGACGCCTTTGCTGGCAATAAAGTCCAGCGCTTTGTTCACGTTGTTGATTTTGTGCACTCTCATCTTCCCCCGCTCCGGCTTAGGTAACCGCTCCCCTGAGAAATACAGAGAAGCCTTTAGAGTTTCCTCTGTTCTCCAAAACCAGGTCCCCCTGCTGGCCCACCAAACCACTCCAGCCCCACCCACCAGGCTGCTGTGCAGCTGTTAAGGGGTCCCCTCTCATCCCCAGGAGCAACAGGACAGCTGGGTAGGCAGGATCTCTGGGGACCACCGTGGCTGAGCACCTGTGCCAGCGCTGGGCGGCACTGCGTGGCTGGGAGCCTCACCTGATATGACCTCCAGGAGCAGCATGAGCTTGAGCCCATCTCGGAAGTCCTCATCGATGTTCTCGATCTGTGTGCCTGCCTTCCGCAGGTGGGAGTTGCACCACGCAGTGAAGGTCTGGGGAAGCAGAACAAAGGGTGGTGCACAGAGTCAGCCTGGCCATCGGAACTCTCTCCACATACCTGCTGGGCCCAAGCCCCGACCTCAGGAGAACTGCAACTGCCACAGAGCACTTGCCGACACCCTCCATGACCAAGACACACATTCTTTTTTTTTTTTTGAGACGAGTTTCACGCATGTTACCCAGGCTGGAGTGCAATGGCGCGATCTTGGCTCACCGCAACCTCCGCCTCCTGGGTTCAGGCAATTCTCCTGCCTCAGCCTCCTGAGTAGATGGGATTACAGGCAAGCGCCACCATGCCCAGCTGATTTTTTGTATTTTTTAGTAGAGACGGGGTTTCACCATGTTGACCAGGATGGTCTCGATCTCTTGACCTTGTGATCCACCTGTCTCGGCCTCCCAAAGTGCTGGGATTACAGGCTTGAGCCACCACGCCCGGCAAGACACACATTCTTTCTGATCCTCACAGTGACCCCGGGAGGCAGACCTGAGGAAACTGAAGCTCAGATTAGTTAATGACCCACCACAAGATCATCCAGGTGGTAAGTGGCAGAGCTTGGATTTGAACCCAAGTCTGTCCATTTTGGCAACACGTGCTTTTTCCACACCCCCAAGCTGCCTTGAGGAAACCCAGTACACACATCAGACAAAAGTGCCTCAGCCTGCCGCCTGCTCACTTGGTCACACGAACACGACTGAACACCAGGCTCGGTGGTGTGGAGTCAACAGGTTGGGTCCCTGCCCTCACAGGGCTTATGTTTTTTTGATGAAGGTCAGCCCTTCATCTGCCAGGCAGACCCACAGGCCCCAGCTAGACCCTGGCTTCCTTGACCCAGAGCCACTCCTCTCAGGCAGGAGCTCAGGCTGCCACATTCCAATCACTTACACAGATACAACCCGGGTCAGGAAAGCGGCAGGAAAAGAAAAGCTCCCATAAATAGAGGGTTTCTTTGAGTCTCTCCTCTAGCTTTGGGTGGTCCAGCGCAAGCCCTAAGCCCTGCGTGCACGCCTGTGTAGTCTGGCTTCCTGCGAGCAGGATTCCCCTGAACCTCTCTCTCCTGGAGAACATGTCCCATCCTTCCTACTCTTTTTTTTTTTTTTTTTTTTTTGAGATGGAGTCTCGCTCTCTCACCTAGGCTGGAGTGCAATGGCACGATCTCGGCTCACTGCAATCTCCACCTCCCAGGTTCAAGAGATTCTCATGCCTCAGCCTCCCAAGTAACCGGGACTACAGGAGTGTGCCAACATGCCCAGGTAATTTTCATATTTTTAGTAGAGATGGGGTTTCACCATATTGGTCAGGCTGGTCTTGAACTCCTGACCTTATGATCTGCCCGCCTCGGGCTCCCAAAGTGCTCGGATTACAGGCATGAACCACCGCACCCAGGCCTATCCTTCCTATTTTTAAGACCCAATGCAGCTTAGAGAAGACTGGAAGGCAAGTGGGAGGCAGGCCACCCTCACAAGGGTAAGAAGCCACATCTAAGGAAAATGTTTCTGAGGATCAGCTGGAAGGGAAGGAGGGTGCTAAACAAGAAGTCTAAGTCCCTGACCCTAACAGAACAACGATGCTGACAGGGTGTAAGTGCACCCAGGCACAGCGCATACAGCCTCCTGGTGGTGCCTGGCTACTCAGCCTCCTGCGAGCTAGGGCATGCTCACAGACATTAGAGCCACAGAAAATCTCAGATCAGTTAACACCAACACGCCCAGGCACCTTCAGGGAAGCCAGCCCACGCACCCTCCCACAGCAGGGCCTGGGAAAAATCCCAGGTGTCTGCTTCTTATAGGAACCCCTGTACCCCACCCCCTCCATCTGCAGGGGCCAGTGTAGAAGTGGGCAGACTGCCAGGGACACACAAGAGCACATTCCACGCCCAGGGTGCAGGCAGAGGCCACGTGGAGGACAAGGGGCTTCCATGGAGGCTCTGGCCAAGCACCATGTGTTTTGACAACTGTGGCCAGCCCTGCTTATTCAGGGAGACTCGACACAAAGTCCCTTCCCAGACAAAGCAGCTGCCTAATTAATACACCGCACCACAGTGTGGACCCAGCATGGGGTTACCAAGCGTGGACAGCTAGACCACCCCCACCCCACCTCTCGCCATGGAGGATTCCTCTGCCTGGGAAACAGAGACCTCTCCTGGTGGAACAACGCTGTTCCCCACTAAGGATACCTCTGCTCCACCCTGCCCCGCCATGTAGCCAGCCCTTGGCACTCCTCAAGTCAGGCCAAATGCCACACCTGAAGGGCACCCACACCATGACTTCCCTGACCTGGCTCTGACTTGGACGCCCTCCTCCCTGCAGATCACATCCCACCCTTGCTCTCTGGTCTCTTAACAGTTGTGTTAGTCTCCCACCCTCCCATGGCTAGGAGCTCCTTGAGGGGAGGTGAGAACCAAAGCAGGTTCTCATTACGAAGCTCACTAACTCACCTTCCCAGCCTCCCACATTCAATGGTGAATTCAGAGCCCTGGGCTGGAACCCTGCTTATACCACTCATGTCGACACGTCACCCAACCTTCCTTTCATTTCCTCCTCTGCAGCGTGGGGATGAAGATACCACCTAGGACACGAGCAGTGTGAGGACTCAAGATGGCCATGCCTGCAGTGCACAGAGCAGTGCTCCGGAAGTGGCAGCTCTCTGGATCGCCTTGTGCCTCCCAGGGTCTCCTCCCTCCTCACCCTGGTCTCAGGAGTCCTGCCCACTCTTTCCACAGTATGCCAGCTCTGTCCCGGCCTGCCCTCAGCACCACACAGCCCTTGGTATCTCTCTGGCAGCATCCCCCAGTTACTTTTGGATGGTCTTATTGGATGTTCCATGAACATGAGCTCTCTCTTCTACCATGTGTGAGCTCCGAGGGGTGGGAAGCATAGCGCCTGAGCCTTTATAGCACCAGAGCACTGCCAGTCTCGATGGTGGGCAGCAAGCAGGTATGGAGCCCAGCAGCCCTGCAGAACAGAGGGCAGCAGCAAATGGGCTGGGAATGAAGTGCCGAGGATGCCGGGCCTCTCCTCTTGAATGTGCCTGAGAGCAGCACTGTTGGGCAGCACAATAGCCAAGACATATTCCACAGCCAGAGGACACAGGAGGGCTATTCCTGAGGGCGAGGCCCCTGTGCTCTGGTGTGGCTGGGCCCAGACCTAGGCACCTGGGCTGCTGGGAGGGCCAGGCACACGTACGCACAGCACCCCTCACAACATCAGCCTGTGTGGGCTTCCCCTGCAAGAGCAGCGACCTGGGTTTGAATGCTTCTTTACCTACTTAAGTCTGTTTCCTTCCCTGTAAGATGGATTTATCAGAATCTACCTCTTGCAGCGTACTCTAAGAATTAAACTGGGGAAAATCCATTTAAAGCATCTGACACACTCCTTGGCATAAAGAGCCTAAGAGCCAGATGAATCACACACATGTGTGCACGCACACACACGCACAACATGTGCTGTGATCCAGTCTCCTATGCAAAGGCCCTCAGCCCACCCCCTGGTATGCAGGGAAAATGAGGTGGCAGGAGACTCTCCTTGGATGGCCCCCACCCCACCCTGTGGAGGAGGCTCTGAACAAACCTTGCCCCTTGGGTTCCGCCACTTGTCCTCAGAGGGGCTGCTGCACTACCCACTCTCCATACACACATCCCACCGCGCTCATTTTCACTGGGTAGTAAACAAGAGCTTGGGCGTCACAATCTTGCCTCTGTCACTGAAGCCTTGGGCAAGCAATAAGCCTCAGTTTCCTTACTGATAAACAGGGATCATAACCGAGAGGTTGAGATAGGGATTAAACAAAATGATACATGTCAATCAACACGTGTCAAAGGAAAGTCTGCTTTGAAATCAGTGGTAACTCTTCTGTGTGCTCCGTCTTCCTGACTGAACGCAGGCAGAGCCCCAAGCACAGAACCAGTGCTCAGGGAGGACACCCACTCGCCTGGCATGGATGACGCAGGAGAGAACTCCCACCCGGACCCGGACCTGACACAGGCTTGCGGAACCCAACTGATGGCCTCCTGGAAGATGAGGGGCATCTATTGACACCAGAGGCTCACAAAGCCACGCTCAGAAACCGGGTGACCACAACAGCCACTTCTCCATATGGAGAGACCGGTGAGTGGGAGCTGGAGTTAGAACGGGACATTAAAAATTCATCGCTTTTTCTACTTGGTTACAAAAATAACACTCTGCTTCCACTCTTCCTCTCCCTACCCAGTTTAGACTATGCTGCGTAGGGTGGATGGTGTGGAGAGGTGGTTTCTATAGACGGAGGCCCCATGCGCTACTCCTCCACCATGCAGTATTCTCAAAGTGTGAGCGGCCGACCCTGCAACGCCCCAGGCCACCATGAGTCCGTACATATTCATTTCCTGGGCAAGCATGTGCTGGGGGTCAGCAGAGGGCCAGGCCCTGTGCAGAATCTGTAACAGTGAGCAAATGTGGACACTCATGAGGCTCCTAGTCTGATCTCATTAATCAAGCAATCACTCCACTCCAGAAATAACGCCCATAGGAAAAGTGGTAATTATAATAGCAGTAACTGCAGCAGATACGTCCATAGAGTCTACTAGGGGCTAGGCACTGCTCGAGGCACTTGGTCACCTACCAGTTCTCTCACCCTCATAATCAGCTTATGAGGGAGGTGCTAGTGCTGCCTCCATTTTACAGATGAGAAAATGGAAGGCCTGAGAGGTGAAGTGGCTTGGCCCCATCAGGCACGAACCCAGAAAGTTACAGAGCTGGATTTAAAGGTAGGTGCTCTGGCTCCCGGGGCCTGTAGGGTGTTCTGCCGCATTTGCGCCCCTGCCCTGTGATGGGAGCTGAACAGCAGGGTCAGCATGGCGGGGAAGCACCGAGCAAGTGGCAGGGCAGACACAGAAAGGTGAACCTGAAGAGGTCATTCTCAAACTCTGAGCTGAAGGATAAGGAGTTAGTAAGACAAAAATGAGATATCTTCCAGATACTAGGAAGAGTACATGCAAAAGCCCTCCTGAAGAAGGGA